AATCTATATAATAAATGTCAATGTCAGTGTGTCACACTTTTTCAACTTTCCAAGAGGCCGTAGCCCAACATTTCATACCATTTTGAAATCAGGCCGGCTCGGTGAGCAAATTAAAAATATTCCGGCGCGGATCCAGACCCGCAATCCTGAAATTTTGGATTCCCAAGTTTTCATTGTTGTGATTGTTTTAGGCGATTTTTAACGTGATTTTTGCAACGATTTTTTTTTTGTACGATAACAATTTTCACAACTTGGAAATAAATTTCGGAATAATCGAAATTAATTGGAAAATCTTGCAAAAAGTCCCTTATTAATTAAAAATAATTTTTGTACGGAATGTAAGGATCTACGCACATCAAATTATCTTTAAGTTAAGTGGCGACAGAACTTTTAAAAGGTAAACTTAAATATTAATGCAATACAGCGAGTTCTTCTACAATTTATTGTTGCCTATTACATACGACAGCAGTATGCATCGCAAATTGAAATCTTCGACAACAGAGGACTAGATTGCCATCAAACGAGCCAAGTCTGCAGCGAGGAAAAGAAAGTCTCGGTCAAATGGAACCAAGTTCAAACCAGGCAGAGTTTCCAGTGGAGAAAACATGCAAAGTCTTAGGGACTCTCAAACCCCTGAACAAGCCGAAGGCCCAATCAATAGCCTCAGCGGGAGCTAACTTAAATTCCACCGGATAGGGTGTCTTTTAAGCAAGTATTTAAATAAATTTACCTTACATTTGTTTTATATACTACCTGGTAAAACATAGTATTTGGATGCTTGACAAGAAAACTGTAGCATTATAAAATGATCTAAAATAAGCCTTTTTTTACTTATGCAGTTATAATCCATAGATTTTCTCCAGTACTGAGCCACTTTCCCACCCGATTTACAGCGAACTGAGCCTGCGTATGAAACTAGCAAAGACGATTCAAATCCTGCTAGCTTAGATACATCCTATTTGCAAGCTTAATATCTTGCCTTCATCCTTAATCTAGATCACGCAAGCATTATCATATACAAAGTTTTCTTTTTGTGCCTTGGTTTACAGATGAAGGACGACTGTTGTACAAGAGACATTCAAAATGTTCGTGTTGTAATAAAACTGTGCAAACTGAAATCTGAATTGCGGCAAGGTAAACAACAAAATTTACTTGTAGCGTGTATGAACCGGGCGTGTCTCTCGAGGTAATAGATTGAAGTTTAAGTTCGTTTACAAACATCGCCCTACGGAACGGCATGGATCCTGTCCAGATTGACACAAGAGCAAACATCAACTTTCTTCTAGAACTTCATTGGAAAACTGATCACATTATTGGCGAAGAGGTTATCGAGACGGTAATCAGAAAAGAAAACTAGCAATATATAAAGCCTACCCCCGCCCACAAAATTGACATCATTTATAATGTGAATATCTGAGGAACTACATGTCTCAAGTAAGCAAAATTAAATAGGTTTCATGTTGAACAACAAAATATTTTTTCTCAAGATTCCAACAAGGTATTCAAAAGGATATAGATTTTATAGTCGATTTCACAAACCTTCACAAATGTTCAGTATGCGCACCACCTGAAACACGACACACATCAAGTGGTTAGTCTCGTACCTGCCAAACACGCTGTAGCATGTCTTGCGCAACATTCCCCAACGTCTCAGTGCGGGCTTATCTCAATGAGAATGTACGAGGAAGAAGGATAGGACGTGCCAGTGATAATGACAAGGTGCTGTTGAAATGGCCACCATGTTGTCTTGACGCCTTATGATTCTTTTCTATGGGGCTATGTGAAAGGACAGGTCTATATCCCCCTTCTTCCTACAAGCGTAGAGGAACGTAAACAGAGAATCACTGAAGCGCTGGAGGATGTTACGAAAGACAAGCTACAGCATGTTTGGCACATGTTGGACTACCCACTTAAGTTCCTCTAGGCTTGTAGGAAAAGAGGAATACAGACCTGTCCTCTCATATAAACCCATAGAAAAAAAAATCACAATGTGTCAAGAGAGGTGAAAGTAGTAGTCATTTCAACAGCAAGATGTGTTTATTATAAGTTACCCCCAGGCGATATACCTGTCTATGAAGATTGTTATATATTGATAATAGTGTAGTATGGCCGCGCGCCATAAGTGTTGCGAACCTATCAAGGATTACTGTACTGTACTGATGCGGCATTCACCCTGGGCGGATTGAGCCGGCTTCTTCCTGTTATGAGAAGAAGATTCTTGGGATAAATTACAGAAGTAGGATACCCAGGCCTACTCGGATAACGTTCTTGCTTGCCGCGGGGTTCCCACAGACGCAGAGACAGGAACGACCAGAAGCCGCCGGTTACCGATGCAGACGCTCCTTGGATTTTCACCAGAGCCGTTGTTAGCCGGCGTGTGTGTCAGACCTGTCCGCCTTGGGTGGCCCCTACCAGGAACGAAGTTCCGGGCGGCATAACTCTGACACTACCGTTTACACCCCCCACACCGACTGTGAGGTAAGGGTTGGACTTTTGGGGGCTAACAGTACCAGGTGTTCCCAAGCGGTCCCCCATCTAAGTACTGACCTGGCTCTACGATGCTTAACTTCGGTGATCGAACGAGAACCGGTGTTTTCAGCGTGATTTGACCGTAAAAAGTCCAACCCTTACCTCACAGTCGGTGGGGGGGTGTAAACGGTAGTGTCAGAGCTATGCCGCCCGGAACTTCGTTCCTGGTAGGGCCACCCAAGGCGGACAGGTCTGACACGCACGCCGGCTAACAAGGGCTCTGGTGAAAATCCAAGGAGCGTATCAAGGATTGGACTACAGTTAGTTGGTCTGCCAGACTCGTTTCCTATCCAATACTTTACAGCGTGATATCTGAGCACATTTTATGATGATGTAGAAAGGAAATTAATTCTCAGAGAGTTTACTCCATTTTTTATATCTATGGTGTAACTATTCTTTACATCAAGATAACCTTTTTCTACCGTCTTTTTCCTTTGTTCTATTTTTTTACTATTCTTCATCTCGTACAAGGCCTAAGGTTCACCCAAGGTAGAAGATTACTCAATTAGGACGTTTCAATCAGGGAGTTAGGGTTGCATATTATGAACATATGTTGGATAGCGCCTCAACTTGAATAGGTTAAGATTTTAGTGATCAAGGAAGCAATCCCCCGGGAGTTCGTTCTTCAATGCAACAGTTCTGGAGAAGAATCTGTTTGCTGTTTAATTGGTTGGTTTAGTTGGTTTTATTTAACGGCATATCAACATCACTATAGGTTATTTAATGCTGAAATATAAATATTTTTTACGCATTTTTTAAGATAATAATGACTTTCTGGATGCAAGACTTACTAATTACCCATATCTAGGGGAGGTGGATACCTACCTTTCCTAAGGATATTTTGCGCGTAAATGAATATAGCGAATCCAACGAGAATTGAAACTCGGCTGGTCGATTAACACTTTCGAGCCATTATCAATTACATCAGCCGAACATCTAAGCTTACAGCCTCTGTTACTCTCAAACAGTCACCCATTTAGTTAAAGACCAGGCTCGACGTAACTTAACTTCGGTGATCGTACTGGAACCGGTATTTCAACGTGATTTGGCCGTAAGACGAATTTGTTAGAGCAGAAGTTATTCCTTACCAATAGAATATGAAGATAATAGGGATGCATCAACTCCGTGTACGTGGCATGGGGAAGAGGTGGTCCTAGCTGTAAAATCCGGATTCGTGGGACGATACAACATAGTTCGTCCGAACATCTGTCATGAAAATAAAGATAAGCTAGCAAGGTTTAGCCGATGACAAAGGGATTGAAGAATGGAAAACAATTCATCAACCAAAAAGGCCACACAAGCGCCTCGGAAGTCGATTGAAGCTGGAAACTGCGGGAAGAGATGCTCCGGTCTAGATCTGGCAGGATGAGATAGATTTTTTTTTTTTTTAGCGTTTCACACCAAGCAAGGCGGGAAGCCACTAGGACGCAAGGGGTTACAGAAAATTTGGAGCAAGATCAGATAGGAGTGATCGAAGAAAGGATAAGGAGAAGGGTAGTGGATAGATCAAGGCAACTGGAGATGTCGATTGATATTACATTTGAATAGCTGGAGATCATAGCTCTCTGGGAAACTGGAATAGGGAAGGGAATTCCACAGGCGAGAGGTGCGAGACATGAAGATATTGGAGTATCAGAGACGGCTACATTTAGGAGTTTCGACTGTGAAGGGGTGAGAGCGAGATGCCAGCCTCGTAGGGCGCTTGAATTCATGAAGTCTGGGAACCAGCGAATGCAGCTCCTCGGAGCAATTGCCATGAAAGTATTTGTAAAACAGACAGAGAGAGGCGACGGCGCGTCTGTGAGAGAGCGACTGTAGACGAGATGCCAGATCAGGGCCAATTATATTGCATATCCGCCTCTGGAGTCTATCAAGAACCCCGAGGCAAAAAGAAGGGGCTCCAGACCATATATGGTAGCAATACTCCATGCAAGGGCGAATTGTTGATTTGTAGATCTGGAGGCTCGATTCCGGGGAGAAAAATTTCCTGGCGCGGCACAGGGAGCCAACTTTCCTTGCGGTGGACGAAGCAATTGCCTCAATGTATTTGTTCCATCTCAGGTCAGCCGTCAACGTGAGACCGAGCAGCCGGTGGGAGTTGCTCTCGAGAAGTTGAGCGCCAGACATTCTAATGGAGGGCAGTGAAGGATCTCTGTGGTGATTAATAGAGAGCAGTTTTGTTTTTGAAGCATTAAAGTTAACCAGCCAATTCCTGCCCCAGTTCACAACCGATTAGAGGTCCATTTCGAGACGCACGGCCAGGTTAGTTTTGTCAGTGACACTAGATTTGTTTTTGAGACAGGAATAAATTGTGGTGTCATCAGCGTAGATTCCAACTTGGGAATTTATGGAGAGGGAGCCAAACATTATTCCAGCGTCTTTTGAAAGTATGGTAACAAAATTCTCCAATTCGTCTATTTCTGTTCCATATTTTTATTTATTTATTTATTTATTTATTTATTTATTTTTTTTTTTTTTTGTCGTCATGATACTGAAAATAATGTTGCCTTAAGCAAGACGTGCATTTTCGTTAAAGGATGACTAGTTTAATAAAAAGAACGCTTGCCTTGTACTTTCATTTATTAAGAGCGTCCTGCCATTGATGGTGTTGCTAATGCGAGCTACTGATAAAGTGTACTTGTTTTCTTCCTCGTTGATAATTTTATTGGTTTTTCTTTTCTGATTTGGCAACATTGTTATCTATTTCAGTTTGTCATATTTCTTTTCTTTATTTTCCAACGAGATCTTCCTGCTATTCAATAGATGCTTTTCTTTCGCGTTCTTGGGAACCTTCTTATATTCTTATGGCAGACTCCGCCTCAGTTCATCCGTTCTTTCAAACCAAGCCTTTCAGCTCCTCAACCATCACACCCCAGAGCACTGGCATTCATTCAAACAAAACTCCTCACTTTATCCACAAGTTTGTACAGACGAACAATTTTATCGATATTGTCATTATAGACGATTGATTATTCGGTAATGTTCACGTAAATCTATCTATCTATCTATCTATCTATCTATCTATCTATCTATCTATCTATTCGCGTCTATTGTATTTGAAATAGACGCCACGAAGCAAACAAAGAAAAAATAGAAACTTGTTTGCTTGCAATGATGTTCCATTTAGCCGATCGGTAAAGAGCGCCGGATTAAAGGTGGTCATAGATTCTTTACTAATATTTCCCGAATGCACAAGCTGATATACGTAATACGTACTGTTTAATAAATAAATATGGGGTGTCTATTTCAAATACGAAGTATCCACTATAACATTTGAAGTAATATATATATATATATATATATATATATATATATATATATATATATATATATATAATCATTAATACATTTAGATTGATTGATTCGTTTTCTACGGGTTATCAACTCTTTGCAGGTTATGCAAAAACCAGAAAATATTTTTAGATTCTAAGACTATATTTTTTAGAAAATAATGATTTGGTGATACAAGTATTACTAATTAACCCATACCTGGAGGGAAAGGTAGATTCATGCCTTTCCTAAGCGTATTTGCGCGTAACTGAATATAACGAACATAACGGGAATAGGAACCCGAACCTCGTATTAATAATTCCGAGCCGTTATCCATTAAATCTGTTATTCTCAAGCGGTCACCCAGCTAGGTACTACCCAGACTCGACGTTGCTTAACCTCGTTTATCGTACGGGAACCGGTATCAATAAATTTAGAGAACCAATAAAACAATTAAATATGCATGCGTTCATATGGTGATTAAGAATGAGAGAGAGATAGTACCGGAGAAAGATGGCCTGGATTGGCGTTTTGCCCATGATCAGTGTAGTACGTGTGCGCGCTCCTGAGAATGAAAGTTTCGTTCACCAGACCTCTGCCTCTGAGCGGTATAGTATCTGTGAATTGTAGGTAACTTACTCTATGTACTTTAATCTTACTCTCCTGATAAAGCCGTGGAGTGTTTTGGTTAATTAACCCCCTGCCCCGTCGTAGACGTGTATATACGTTTTAACCGAATGTGTCCTTTCAGACAACGACGAATAAACACGTTCAAAATATAACGTGCAAAAAATAGCTACAGACTTGTTTATGTATCGATTTTGATTCTTTTTAGGCCCTTCTGAGCTTGAAGCTCAGACGTCTGGTTGCGGTGTTTGCTACCACTCGGGGACTTGAAAGTGCCTCAGTTTTTGAGTTACTATATTAAGAACATTTTTTTAAAAAATTGTCTGGAAATTAAATGTATTTCCAAAATAATTAACGCGGAAAGCGCTTGATATGGCACTTTCTTGGTTTCACGTTCGAACCCGTTCAATGTAAACGTTTTATTTTATATGTTTGCCCTTATTGCTAGAAAAGTGTTTCTTTCTTTTTATGGGCCATGTCCTTTCTGGACGTAGACGATCACGGCCCTCTAACTCCCTCTATCCCTTGCAGCTCTCAGCAAGTTCCTTCCCTCTACTTCCTCCCCCAGACCACGTTCTTTCATCCACCTGATCAAGCTCGCCAGATATGTCAAGCGCTGCTTTCCCTTCCTCTCTATTCGACCTGTGAGTATCAGATTCTCCAGGCCCTCTTTCCTCATTATGTGTCCCAAAACCTTCTGCCTCTTCCTGATGTTAAATATGAGCCTTCTCTTTGTTTGCAACCTCTCCAAGACCTCGTCGTTGCTCACACGATTGGTCCCTGATATCCTTAGCATCCTTCTGTATAATCACATCTCCGTCACCTCGAGTCTCTTCTTCATCTTCGAGGAAATCGTCCAACATTCCCTGTCGTAAAGAAGGACAGATGTCACGTAGAAGTTCAGTATTCTTTTCTTTGTTACCAAAGAAATCCCCCTGTCTTCGTAATACTCTGGTCAGCTTTTGGAATGTGCCCTTGGCCATCCCAATACTTCTATGGATCTCAGTGTCGCACTTACCGCCATCTGTTAAGACAGGTACAAAATTTGAAAATACGCGTGTATTTGTATATGAATACATAATTTGTTTTCTTTCTTTATTTTATTTTAGTTCATAAACTATTTTGTACTATTAATCTATTTTCTTTTAATTATTTTCAAACTTTACGCCATCTTTCTTTTTCCTACTTC